AATATAACATGTGGTTGTTAACATTATTGTATGGCATTTAGTTATAACATTATAGTATGGCTTAACAAATACATTATAGTATAACACAAATAGCAACTAGCTATTAATAATTGCATACATAATTATTATATGTTATATGCCATTCAACAGTATACATATTGAATATGTCAACTGATATAATTAAGTTAATATAATAAATTCCAGGCATTACCAAAATTCAACTCACAAGTCAGTTCTTTTAGCGCATGTGACAATTAGCTGTGTCCTTTCATATACATACATGCTATACTAATCTATCTTATTTCGTGAATGTCTCTTGAATGTATCAATAAAACAAATTAACAAAACAGTAGTATTCATACCAAATAGTTCTTGTAACAATAGCTATTTTACTAATATACGACATATAACAATAGAATTTGTAGTTAATATGCGACAGATATTACGCTTTATTCACTCTATGACAAATCATAATTATTAACACTCTGTATGTGTTAAAGCATTTAATCTCTACACAAGGAAGAGGAGCATGTATTTGGACACATAGAATTTAGCTCATCGACGGTCAGACAGCAATCAACTGAAATTTCCAATGACCGGGCAATAAGGACCTCACTCACCTCAACAGACATTTAGAGATGTGTACAAATTACAGAATAAATGTAAGTGAATGATAGTAACAAATAACAACAAGCGTATTCTGACAACTAATGATATTGATATATATAGGTATATGCATATGTATTTATTATTCATTCTGTTAAAGTATATGTATACATATTTATTACTCAATTTGAATAGTATATGTATATGTATTTATTATTCATCTTGTTAATGAAGTGACACCTATATACAGGTTATTGTGCTACGCGTCATCGATATACAAGCGCGTCCTATCTCTCCATCACTTTGATTTTGGTTTTCGTTAGTTTAATCTTATTTTAACTTTAAAAATACTGTATTTTTTAATATTTAATATTTTCTTAATTAATTAAGTACAATAAGAAAAATTATTAATTAATAATAAAACGATTTTATTATTTTTTCTCATTATACTTTACATTATTCTCAGTATATTTCATTACAATCGCGGAATCGAAAAAGGAAGTAAAACTGAATTTTGCATTAATGCGTTTATTGTTTTTTGAATATTTTGCCTGCGAAAATTACTTAGATATTATTTTTCTAAAAATATCGTGAATATAAGGAGGTTGATACAGAAACTATTTATCGTGTACTGTATATGAGCTTCAAAATAAATAAATAAAAATAGATTTTATCAAACGATGAGATCAGCCGATTAATTGCATCGTGTACAATATTTTACACCCCCAAGGAAAATACTGTAAGTCTAGGGTAAAATAAATTTTGTTTTGCCACAGTTTAACTTCCCCGCTAATTGCTGTTGTGATAACTTTAATACGATCTTCTAATGACAGCACTTTGCATTTCGGACATTTTCCAACAAACTGAAATGAATTTCCTTTGTTGCTAGACTAATTTATTAACACCTGCACCTAATTTCAAGGGTGGGAGAAGTGCCCGG